GAAAAGTAACTAAACAGTGACCTTTTTTTAAACTATTGATTATCACTTAACGTTTATACCAGTATTACGTAGATATAATAAATAATTATAGAAAGTCAATATTAGCGGAGATAGTAAAATAGGTCACTATTCAGTTACTTTTCACCAACCCGGTATAAATAATAGTATATCAATAATCAAAAAGTTAACCTCAAATTTGAAGAACATTGTTTATAATAATAATACGTATCCTAATTCGTTGGAAATGATGTTTCTGCTTATACACGAATCAGGATATAATCATTAATCCCCGTGATCTTAAAATAATGGATCGGGGATGAATAAAATAGTACGAATCCCGTGTCAGGGGTCCTGGTTATAAATTGACAGAATATTAAGTGAGAGCGTGAATAAAAATTTGAAATGATTCAAATTCTTCCTAATGAGTTGCAAATTGAAATATTAATATATGTTGTTACAGAAATAGGGTAAGTTTATATCATTTTTTCACGAAATTTTTTATTTATGAATTTAATAATATATATTGATAAATAATAGCTTTCAGAAATTTGGCACTTTACGAACTGTTTGCAAAAAGTGGAATGCATTCGTTCCTTTAGTAATGCACAAAGAAGTTATTTCTAGGTTAAATTCTGGTTTGAAACTTGAGGTAAATACAAAAAAAAAATTTTTTTTATGATAAATTAATATTTAATAAATAAATCATTACCCTTAAACAATAGTTAACGTACTTTAATGGTGCCTTAAGTTATGTTAAATGGATTCAAAAATTATCGCCAACTTATGACGATTTTACCAAGACATTTACTTTTGTATTTGATGATACTGACGACGACATTAGTGATTCGTACTATGATCTAATCAAACTTCACAGTGATTATAACATCAATCTTACAGTATCGGTATGGGTGGAAAGGAGTAAAGATAAACGAAGTAAGCGAAGTCTAAGTAAACTTGGAACTGAATTAGGAGATTTAACATTGTCGGAATTGTTAAATAATGATATGTATAAACATGAATTCGACCATCGAAGTAACATATGTTTCAAACGGGAAGTGATCAAGGTTGAAGAAGACAAGGACTTTATTTGCGTGAAACTTTATAGTTTTACCATTGAAGCGTGGAAGCTCTGTTATATTTTGGATTATTTTCAATTTGATACGTGAGTTATTTAATGCATATATATGAATTTGTTTTTAGTTTGCTGTGTTAATAAAGTTAAATTATTTCCTATTTTATAGAGAATGTTCATGTTTGAGGACAGGATTTGAATGTTACTATTTATGGGATGCTATTCGTATGAAGTTTAATGTACGGGATTGAAAAATATTATTTTGCAGTTGCGAGAATATCTTTTACTCCTATCCTAAAAGATTCATAAAAAGTGTACTGTAGATAGTTAACTGAATAATTATTTGAAAAGATTTTGAAGAATTTTAATGGTAGCATATGGTTAAGTTCATTTATCTCCACTGCAAAGCTTTGTTAGATTTTTAGTATATTGATAGAATATAGAATCTTTTCAAATATAATATACCACTTTCTGCATTACCTCAATTTTTTTTTTAAAAAACAAAGCCTACTAGCTAAAAAAATATATATAATAAAATATAAACTTAACGATAACAAGCAAGAATTAAACTTAGATCATAATCTGAATATTTTGATCCTAGTTAATTATTGCTGTTCAAAATATACTTTTTTAACATTCCTTTCTAAGACTTTTCTGTCCGTTTATTAAATCATTTACCATTTTATAGAATGGATTATAAGCGATTTTAAATCATTAACTACTCTTCAAAATAAAGCTTTAGAAAATTCATTGCAGAGTTTGTTCAGTCATCATGCATATAAAAGGTGTGACCTCTGGACTGGTAGGAATAGACAACTTTTAGTTATCCCCATGTGTACTATGTAACAACCCGTACTTTTTTGACAAGGTTATTTTCATCGGTCTATATGAAAATCACATGGATATAGACCGATGTGAATAATCTTGTCATAAATCATCGTGTTTATGTAAGTTTGAGTCCTTTAAATTGTCGTGTGCAAGAATTTATTTTAGAGATGGGTAAAAATTTTATATATTCTTACATATTTTAACATATTTTAACATATTCTTACATATTATGGTAAAATCAACACGCCAAGATAAAAAAAAAAAAAAAAAAAGACTTCACATATATATATTAATTTTTAGCAGCAAATTTCAATTTATCGCATACAATTAATGATTATTTTAATGATTAAACATTATCGAGATTTTCTAAAACTTACCAGTCCTCTAAAGTTTTTTCTTGAATACTATGTGTAGCTTGAATAGAAGATTCAATTACGGTTTCATTATATATAACAGATAATTTGATAATTAGTAGTAAAATTATCAATGTTTTCATTGTTTGCATTACATTTTCAAAGTTTTCTTCTAAATTATCATTATTATTTTCTATACAGGTTGTCATTGGACTTATTCCAGTATTTTATAGTTGCTGGACTGGACTGGACTTTTTATATGTCCAGTCCAGCTGTTTTGTCTAGTCCAATAAGTATGGTTTGATCTTTTAAACGCAGATAATTTTTGATTCACTGGCCTGTTTTGAGTGATTTTACTACCAAAATGACCGCCTCATTGAGACGATTCTAATAAATCCAAAAATCACTAAAATCAGACTACAAAATCGCAAGATCGTAAATTATTGACTTAAATATTTAAAATAACAATGCTTTAATGATATTGGGATCCCGTGATTGAATTTTAATGATTTTGAGCTCACTAGAATCGTGGTAAAATTATCAAAAAACAGACCAGTAAATCAAAATTATTCTCATTCAAAAATATAAATTAATAGTATTACTTTTGATTGGATCGTATTTTATTTCACTTGATTGGACTATTATTGGACTGAATTATCTAAGTCCAGCTATCGATGGTCCAATGGACTGGACTTGGACTGGCAACCCTGTTTCCATATCATCAAATTCAATATTCGATGTAGTATTTTTAAGACTTGCTTCATTAGAATTAGCTGTATTAGTTTGAATGATTTGATCAAGCCTATTTTCTTTATTTTGAACAATATGATGTGGATTATTTCTTTCTTGTGCAATATGCCATCGAATGCATGTTATTTTTGTTGCACGTTCATTTATAGTTTGTTACGTTATGAATGGATATTTGCAATAAATAACCAGAATCTTTCACTTCAGCAGAAGTAGGTGGTATTAACATAACTCGGGTAGCAAAAATAGCTAATTCCGGTATGATCAATCTTTTTATTTAACTCAAACAATTTTGCATATATATTTGTAATCGATGACTCTTAAATTACTTAATATATAATTTATAATTTATAAAGGCGGCTATTATTTATACCCCCCAATTTTGTTATTCATACCCCCCTGTAGATCAAATTTATCTTCAACTTTGAGCGAAGATATCTTGACAACCATCAAGTCAATTCGATGATTTTTTTTTATATGAATTCTACAAAGCTGTAGAATTCAAATAAAAAAAAAATCATCGAATTTGGCTTGATAGGTGTTGAGATATCATCGCTCAAAGTTGAAGAAAAACTCAAAACGTCTATCAAAATAAAAGCTGCACCAATTTTTCTTT